CTCCAGTATGTCGGTCGTTGTCAAACCCAACAAGTTGTGCACATGCCTTGACCCTCGCGATTTGAACAAAGCCATCCTGTTGAGAGCATTACCAAATGCCCACAGTGGAGGAAGTTGCGACCCAACTTTCACAAGCAAAGAAGTTCACTGTTGTAGACGCCAAAGATGGTTTCTGGCAGAAACATCTTGACACTGAGTCCAGTTGCAAAATCATGTTCAATACACCATTTGGGCGGTATCGATAGAACAGGATGCCATTTGGTATTTGTTCAGCACCTGAAGTGTGGCAACGCACCATGCACGAGTTTGTGGAGGATCTGAAAGTAGTGGAAGTGATAGCAGAAGACTTCCTGATTGCTGGATTTGGCAGTACCGACAAAGAAGTAAACAACAGTCTCGAGAGACATGAGCGCGCTTTTCTTGAGAAATGCTGCTTGTGGAACCTGAAGTTGAATCGTGCCAAAGTGAAACAGCACCAGTCAAGTGTGAAATTCATGAGTCACCTACTTACTTCTCAGGGCCTAAGACCTGACCCTGAGAAAATTCAGGCCATATTGCAGATGCCTGAACCGGAGGATGTCACTGCACTGAAGCGATTCCTGGGGATGGTGACCTATCTTGAAAAGTTTATGCCTCACCTATCAGAGATGACAGAGCCACTCAGACACCTAGAAGACAAGAATGTGGAGTGGCAGTGGTTGCCACAACACTCCCTCGCAATGAACACAATCAAGAAGTTCCTGACAGAGGCACCTGTTCTTCGCTATTATGATGTAAGCAAGCCAATCATCGTCCAATGTGAGCCAGTCTGGCTTAGGAGCTGTATTGCTGCAAGATGGCCAGCCTGTTTGTTATGCTTCCTGAGCCCTTACTGACACAGAATCCCGTTACGCACAAATTGAGAAAGAGATGCTTGCCATCACCTGGTCGTGTGACAAGTTCGACCAATACCTCTACGGACGAGACATAGTCACCATTGAGACTGACCATGAAACATTGAAGTCAGTATTCAAAAAAGAAATTCACAAGTCACCCAAGCGCCTGCAGCGAATGTGTCTGGCCCTACAAAAGTACAACCTTGAAGTACAATACAAGAAAGGACCACTCATGCATATAGCAGATGCATTGAGTCGTGCATATCTGAAGACCACTGATGGAGCGCAGATGGAGTTCTGTGAGATTCGTGCTCTGAGACAGTTGATCATGAAGAGCATATTCCAGTAGGACCCCCGAAATGAGATGTTTTCCGTGAACAAATTGCTGCAGATGCTGATATCCAGGAACTTATCCGCATTATCAAGCAAGGGTGGCCTGACAAGAAAAAGTGCCCCTCTGCTGTCCTACTGTATTATGATGAGCAAAGCGAGTTGATAGAGTCGCAGGGTCTAGTTTTCCGTGGTGAACAGCTTGTAGTACCCCTGTCACTTCGAAAGGACATGTTAAATCAGCTACACATTAGTCACATTGGCATTGGAGGATGTATTCGTCGTGCTTGTGAAATATTGTATTGGCCAAGAATGAGTGCTGAAATAAGAGACTTTGTTTCACGTTGTACAATCTGCCAAACATACCGTCCAGCACAGGCCCGCGAGGAGCTTCAACCAAATGAACTTCCTTCGCGCCCTTGGCAGAAAATTGGTGCTGATCTGTTTGTCATTGGGCAGCAGACACTCCTGATTATGGTGGACTACTGGTCCAATTTCTTTGAAGTAGTTGAGATTCACAGGAAGACCGCACAAGCTGTAATTACTCAATTCAAGGTGCAGTGTGCCCGCCATGGCATTCCTGAAGTGCTGATCAGCGATAATGGTCCTGAATTTGACAACCAGGAGTTCAAGAATTTCTCCACTGATTGGCAGTTTGAGCACCGAACTTCAAGTCCAAGATATCCACAATTGAATGGAAAAGTGGAAAATGCTGTGAAAACCTGCAAAGCACTGCTCTTGAAAGCAAAGGCAGACAAATGAGACTTATTATTGGCGATCCTCGCTTAGCACAACACCCCAAGTGAGGGATTCAGCACCTCACCAGTTCAAAGGCTGATGGCTCGGCGCACGTGCACTTTGCTGCCAACTGCTGAAAAGTTACTCCAGCCAAACAGTGACTTGAAGACCACAGCGAGAAGCCTAGCAGCTAGGAAAAGATTGCAGTGCAAGCAGTACAACAGAGGCACAAAGAACCTCATTCCCCTGAAGGTGGGTGAGGCAATCCGAATGAAACTACCTGGGGAGCAGAAATGGAGCTTAGGTTGCTGCTCACCTCTTCTTGGCTGACGCTCATATGAAGGTCAGGTAGATGGACGGCGCTTCCGCAGAAACCGCCGCCAGCTGCGCTCCACCCTCGAGCCATCACCAGTACCAAGTAGCAACAATGAAGAGCCGCCTCAGACTGAGAACAAAAGCAGGTCACCACATCAGCCTGAGAATGAAAGCAGATCACCTGTTGTGCCAGAGCCTGTACCAGACCAGTGCCAAACCCCCTCTCTCCCTGTGATTCAGAAGAATGACACATTGTCCCCAGCACACTCTGTCCCAGACAGTACAGAACCAGTCGCAGCACTCCTACCTAGACGTTCCGGGCAAACCAGACGTACCCCTACCTGGCTGGAGGATTATGACTTATGTTGAACACTTGAACATTGAATTGAACTTGCCTCTATTCTTTTTTTGTTGTTGCTTTTAATGTTGTAAGGGAAAGGGATGTGGCGTGACATGCGTGACGACAGTCATGTGATTAGCTAGTCACGTGTACCTTGGCACCTTGTGGCACAGCAGTTGTTGTAGACCAAAACCCGAACTGGACATTAAAAGTTTTGTTGTAGTTTCAGCCCGTAGCTCTGTCATTTTATTGTCATTCCAACTCAACAGCATCAGCAAGAAGTAAACATTAGACTGCGTGCGTGTTTTTCTGAGGCCAAGAGAGTCCGCTGAAGTAAAGTGGTTTAACTTCTTTTATTATCATATTTTCGTTCTGCAGGTCAATATGCTTCTTTTAAAGTAAAATAAAATGATAACATGAGTTTATTCATGCACTCAAGAGTACATTTACTGACAAGGAATATTTCAATCTTTTTACGTTAATTAGATTACTGACAAACGGAAAATATGTAGATTTCAGTCACGGCACCGCAATTCTAAACAGTTCAACCTGTTTAACTGTGTACATGCATACGTAACGTTACAGAGTTGCATTTACTTCAGTTGAATATGGAAAACGGGACTGCAAAGTAAATGCAAACAGGCGCTTATTTTCCAACCTTGTAATGTAGAATGTGTCCATTTAAAAGTGGGAAGGTAGAACGGGGTATACTAACCTGCGCCGACAAAAGCAACATTGATCACAAGCAATCCACTGGCAATCCTGACATAGCAGTCTTAGGATTTTCATTCTATTCTTCTCTCCTTCGTGACTTCTTCATGGAATGGTTACCATGTTGGATAGCGGCAAATTGGTGTCACCCAACCTGTCTTTTCCTATCACTGCCAAATAGGATTCGCTGACCTCTGACTTTCCTTTACAATCTTGTTCATCAGTTTATGCGCTGATAATGGAAGAATAACTGACCAGAGTCCACCCGCATTGCTAAGCAATTCTTCTTATCCAAAAAACAACAGTTCATATTTTTTGAACATCCCAGAGGAGAAACGACAGAAACTTCTGTCGTCCGACCTTCAATCTGCTGTATATATGACATGTCACGCCTTCCGAAAGCAAATGAAGTGTTAGCAAAAGTTTCAAAACTAATTTAGGGTAGAGCTTCAATCATTATATGGTTGCAGTATGTTTTACACGACGGCAAAAGAAAAAAAATGCAATACATGCACGTCTAAACTCCACAGAATTCTCTTGGGAAAATTCAACCTACTTACTGGGTAAAATTAATTAGCTTAATTACATGGATTTGGCGTGCTTAAATATTCTATCCTGCAGTCCAGCTAACTATTGCAAGCGGGTCCTTTTAGTGAGTCATGGATTGCCAATCGCAGAAAGTCGAAACAAAGTGACAACAGAAGTAAAAAAACTTTGCATTGGCGGAAAATATTTCTGACCGAACTTTTAATTGGAATTCGCGAGACCTATTGTACTCCGATTTGTTTTTTTGTTAACTAAACTATACAATGTATATTGACAAAAGTACAAAAGACTATCGGAAACACGTTTTACTTCGGAAATAAACGGCCACCCTTTTGTAAAACAACCCACTCTGTAGGACATAGTAAATTCCACGGCCGGGAATGAAACTGTGACTTGCAAACAAAATAAACAATGAAACTTAAGATTTCTTTACCAAATTTAACCTGTACATCTGGTCCTAAAATGACTTTGAAATACCTTTGTGCAAAGGAACTTGATAGGTTATAGAAAACGCAACTGTTTTAAGCTTTAATTCAGTAAATATCTCCTTTAGTGACTAGTTATCTTAAATTAATTATTGGACGGCCACGTAGTAAAAAGTTTTTGACTTCCTGTTTCGTCTTGGTGTGAAATCGACATCTCGTCACAAATGTCGGGCATTCGAAAACAAACTCGGATTAAATAAAGTTACTTTAGCGTTGAGATTGAACTGTTTTACCGTTATATTATAGGTGCAAGCAAACAATTTGCTTATTAGTACAAAGAACTCATAATAAAAGGACTTAAATGCTTGTACCCGCTTGTCCTCAGACCAACACACGTAAGTCCATTGTTTACTTTTCGTGATGTTTTAGGTAAAATTGGGGTTTTTCAGCCGGGCCTCAACAAGCACTCGAAGAATAAGCCAAGCTGATTTTAATACATGTTTTACAACAGCATAAAAGTGTTCCAAAGGCGAAGTTTCCAAAGGACTGATGTATTAAGCATTGTACAGTCTAAAAAAGTGTAGTCAAAATGATTATTTTTTGCCAATCAAGCCACCTTAAGGTATACAGTAGCCTGAATATGGTATTGATTATGGCTAAGATATGTAAGGTTTGTGCACATGCTAATAAATGGGTCATAAATTAATATGAATGTCGTAGGTTACCCAAGGTTGTCCTCATTTGTCAACTCTGGACATTGGCTACTGCTATAGAATTTTAAATCATGGCACACTGTCAGTGGGAGTGAGTGCTTTTCCTCCAAATCTGACAGAATTGACTCTACATGGAGTGCAGATGTCCACAGATTTACTTATTGGCCTTGTGGACAAACTAGCTTACATCAAAAGATTGACTCTGTGTGGCATGAAAGCTGTTGATGATGATTCTTTAGAGCAAGTAAGTTTTTATATTATTAAGTGCCTTTGTGGATTGGGGACAATCCCTTTCTAATTGTGTTAGGCAAACAATGGTCACTAAATCAGAAGTTAAAGTAAATTAAAGGTTTCTTAATCAATTGAACAATATGCTACAGCTGGTATATGAATGAGATGTAGGGCCCTTATAGGAATCTTTATCAGTTAGATTCCCACTGAGAGGCATGTCATATTTGTCAAAAATAAATTGCTTTAAGAATACTGTCTGAAAGGTCCTCATGAAATAGTAATAGTTTTTTTTCAACCTCATAGGCAAACTCTCCTGGACCATTTCATTCTCAGTTACAAAAGGAAAATGTTGGATATTGTGCACAAAATTGACATTCTTCCTGATTTGTATTTTTTGAGTGGGCATCTCTGTAACTTGACAAGTGACAGTTTTTTCTTTCCAGATTTGTTTAGCAGCAGGACGGACCTTGACGTCTTTGGACCTAAGTGGTTGTGCTAGTTTGACAGACACTGGTCTGTCAGCCATCAGCAAACACTGTCAAACCATTGAATCTCTTAAAGTTTCTTTCTGCCCTAATATTTCTGGCAAGAGCTTGAAACCACTGTTCATCTGCCCAAGGAGAGGCCGAGACTTCAAAGCATTCGTGGCTAATGGATGTAAAATGGTGAGTTTTCAAAGCATTTCAAAAATAATTTAGTAAGATGAGTAGATCTCACTAAGAGCTAACTCATAATAACTTTGAGAAAGAGAACAACAGTTACGCAATGTTAATTTGTGTAATTGCAGCCGTTTTACCTGTTTTGTGAAAATTTTGAAGAGCTTTCCGTCGAAAATTAGTTGTACATGTAGTTGATTGGTATGCAACAAAGGTGGTTGTATATGGTTGTATAATTCGAGCCATCGATAGCTTTGTCATCGGTTTTTAACCGACACTTTGCCAAAAATTACATGCAAGGGTGTCACTCGAGAAGTGCGTTTCTTCTGCGAAGAATTATTGCTATTTTTAAGTTGGAAAATATTTGTTTTCCAAGTTGTAGTGTTGGAATGATTTCACTGCTTCACTCCTGCACTCCCTCACTCCCTCCCTCACTCCCTCCCTCACTCCCTCACTCCTTCACTCCCTCACTCCTTCACTCCCTCACTCCCTCACTCCTTCACTCCTTCACTCCTTCACTCCTTCACTTCCCGTTAGACATTTGGAAAGCACTGTTCAAGAAAGGATCCGGCGCGCACTTGTAGACCCGACTTGTGTACTAGAGTGATCAGCAGAAATCAAGCCTGAAAACAGAAATTATTATTAGGGAGCTTAAGCAAACCATGACGACGACGGCAACAAGAACATCACTAAACAAAAGGTTTAATGAGCAAAACAATAGCTGTGCACGTGCGTTATACATTTTTGTACATTTCTTTGCCGTCCTCTGCAAAACAAGAACGTGAAATGATCAAGTTCTACGTCGTCTACGAAACGTGGACGACGACGGCTAGTTTTTCGCATTTCCATTTGGGACTATACGCCGTCGTTGCATATTTAACCTGAGCAAGTTTTTAGAGCCATTGGCATACTGAACAGAGCTAGACATTTTGCGAATTTTGCTTGTAAAATATGAATTCATTTTTTACTAGGCGTCGTCCTCGGCGTTGTCGTCGTCGTTGCTTAAGCTCCCTAATATTTCCTCGAGTGCACGGCCCTAAAGGATACTTTGACAGCTAAAAATGGTGATGTTACGTCATCAACACCCTAAGCGAAACCAGAATCCTTGACAATGAAGAAGAAATGGAAAAATAATCAGTAGTTACCACAAGGACTCGAACTCTCAATGTCCGCATGTCAAGCCAGCAGTTATCACACTGCGCTACTTGTACATCAGTTGCTGGAGGGCAAAAATATTAATGATTTATTTACGTACCGTAGGCTCAAGTGTTTGGTTCAGTCTATACCTCACTTTTGACCAAACAAAATGATCTTGCCATTTTTGAATACAGCACAAGGAAGACATGTACAGATACTTTAATGTAGAATGTGTAGGGAGGCCTGAGTAACAAACGGTTTCTTAACGTTGAACTTTTTCATTTTGCAAATATCACAACACACCCCTGAATGGAAAAAGGATTTATGGGCTTGTTCGAAAGCTAGACTGCCCTCACATCACAAGTAGTTCCTTAATGAGCAATGCCTCATAACACCCTTTCATAATTTATTTTCCAAGTT